GCTCAGATTCTGACTCTTCATCCTGAAGCTGCTTCCTCTTCTTAGACTTCTTGGCTATTATCTTCTGCTTGGGGCGACCAGCCGCAAGTTGAAGAGCACCTATAGGTCCAACCGGTGCACCCACCAGAGTCCCTCCGATGGGGGGACCATTGGAAGCCACCCCAGCTAGTCCGGTGACGCAAACTCGGGGGAAGGTGAACTCCCTTGGTCGCTACATGCAAACATCTTTAGCAAAACAGTTTGCTGCATGCGAATAACAAAAGTGGCTAAGGTTATGGTACTTACTCGGTAAGGTTTCTAAGGTCGCTTCAGGATTGAAGAAACCGTATTTCTGCATATTCGTGGTTGTCACAAGCAGCCTGACGTCACGACTTTGTTCGGGAAAAAGACCGAAAGCAGTGATCCTATTGAAATCAGCGAGAGCCAATAACTTTGTTGTCTTATTGATTGTGAAGAAACAAAGGAAGTTCGTTAGCAAAGATAGAAAGAAAGAAAATTCGCCAAGAAAGTGAAAGGAAAAACCTACTTAGCTCCCTAAATTGGCAAATGCCATCATAGTGGAAAAAAAAAAATTTTTGTCTCATACGCCCCAACATTGCTGGGGTAACTGTGTATTCCTCCTTCTATCGTAGATCACTTCGAGAGGTAGAAAGAGTCTTTGTCTTTACTCTTCTTCAGATAATGCAAGCAATCGAGCTCTAGCGCGGTTAACTCGCCTAAACCGTTTTCGCCGCATGCGATATACATAGCCACGACTATCATACACGCATTCGGCAAAGCTACAACGATGCGACCCCAAAATGATCGAAGACCGACCTAATAAAAGGGTGGAAGGGGATCAGCACTCAACACTTAAAAATGTTCTTGGAGATCGTAGCCATTCCTTCTGGCGGATTTCAAGCTATGTACGTCCTATGTTGGTAGACCTGTACGCAGAGAGCATATTGGTCTACCGCTTTCTGAATATCCTCTACGGTGGCTATTGACAAAATCTCTTGAGAGGGACCCGCTGGGCCATCCTGCACCAGCGAGCTCGTTCCCTCGTCTGTCCTGGTCGCTGAGGGGTCCATTTCTTCTGCGGTTTGAAAAAAGTGACATGCAAGAATTACTTAGTCGTTGTACACTGTTTTGTACGATGACGTGGAGGAAAAAGTAAACACTATCTTCCTCAAACCCTAGAAAAACCCTAATGTATCCTTGGGGGCCACCCCCAAAGACTCAAACCCTAGGAGAAAGCTTATTCTCCAATCAACCACAAGCAAACGATCACCATTATCGCATAACCATCTCCAAAAAAATAGAAAAAGGAAAGTGATAAGAGAATCATAATTACCTCTTGAGTATGAAGATTGATCCTCCTACTCTGAACATCAAGTGCGCACCAGTCTGAAAGACGAAAAATTAAGGCTAACAAAAGCTTCTTGTTCTTCTGAAAAGGTGAGTATTGTGACATTGCTTGAGGTGAGCCAGGGGTTTTATAGTGAAGGAAGTGGCGCTTGGTTTTCCCAAAGTCAAACGACATTTGAACGGAAATCGTCTCTCACCGTTGATCATGACCATGTGTCGTCAATCAATGGGAAAGAGTAACCGTCACGCTTCGAGAAATCAAATCATTGTTTCTCTCCATTGAAATACTCAAGTGACGACTTGCTTCTCTCCTCCAAATTAAATGCGTTCACATCCACATTTAATGTTCTGATAAGGAATATCGTTTCAGCATGGCTCGCATTTAATGCGCATGGCTAGCACTTATTGCACATAGGACACGTCTGTTAGAGAAAAAGGTGTTTCATTAATGTATCCGCTACCAAAGTGCAATGGATAACATCTGAAGAGGTCGTTAGATAAAACAATCTTCATCGCGTGTCAGTTGCAAAGCCACGTGACTCTTTGGCTTCAACAAAAAATACACTAAGTATAATCAAGTCATGAACCTCAGTCAAGATCGGAATCATCGCTATGGCACTGAATAAGGTCTAGTATAGGTCGCAAGCCTTACGGAAAAAGACAATTTCAGGTCACCTATATGGAACTATTTCGCAACCTCCTCGCAACCAGGTCGGATCGACCAGCGGTCACTCAGCACATCAAATCAAGGCATGATTGAAACTAGGGGACTTCTGTTATGCCTGAGAAAGTAGGGCTGACGCCAAAACTTGTCAGCATGGGTGGTTGGAGCTTAAGAAGGTTCTACATCCACTCAGATGCAGCCACGTCGCGTGATGACTTGAGCAGCATGCTCCTGCCAGTGCAGTGGGTATGTGCCAGGTTGGCGAAAGGCTAGAAAAGGTCCACGTGTCCAATCCCTGCACAAGTTGAGGAAATCACCTGGGCAGGTGAGTAATGGGACGTAGAGAAGGATTTGCACGGCATCTACCCCACTCACAAATTTAGTAATTATTACCTTAATTCCTCCCACTATAAATAGAGGGCTCCTCTCCTGTTTGTTGGATTGGCTAATTTTTCTCTGAAATAGCATACTTTCTCTCTCTCTCTCCCCCCTATATTCTCTAAGCTATAAATCAGGTCGTGTTCGCTCGCTGAACATGACCTGATTTCATATATTAATACAATACCAGTGGACGTATGATTCGCTTTTGGGGCATCCGAACCACTTTAAACATTGTTCTTCACCCCTTATTCAGTTAAATCCATCCATAATCACGTGTGACTTTTGAGCCCACTCAGCATTTCTCACATGCAAATAGTTAATGTCAAAATCGAGCATCAACATTATCTAACCAATTAATACTGGAGTTGTAACTGGATTAATCTTTTTCTCAGAGAACGAAAATGAAAGATCCATACACAACTAGAAAAATTAGCCTAAGCCTAGTTGATAAAAATAACTCATTTTTTTATAATTTTTGGGCAAGCACTTTGTTCTCCACTCTAGATTCCTCCAAAGTTACTTCACCATTAGAGTACTGCCATTTGTAATATTACATTATCTGTTTTGAATGGAATCATAAAAAGTTGAAGAATATTTGGAAGGCTAATTTGCTTCCTTTTTTCTAGCTTTCCCACAATTCTGAAAAGTTACAAGATATTTATTCTTAATCATCTTAAATTAGATTTATGATTAATAAAGTGAGAGCTTTGTGACTGATGATTTCTATATAAAGGAACCTGACTTCAAACGTTAAGTGCCAGACAAACACAACAAAAACTACTCTTCTTTGTAAACTTACACTTTGTTATGACTAAGAAGATCAAAGGCTGATGTGGAGTTGCGTGACGAAAAGTGGCCTGCTCCCGTCAGAACGGTAAGCGCACGTCAGGCCTGCCAAACGCCCTGGTGCTCCCACGTGTCCGCTAGCCTGCTCCAAATCGCGTGAAATCGGCTTGGAAAATGGGTAATGGGACGTAAAATCAGATTAGGTCCTGACAATCACACCAACCCAAGGATTTAGTAATGATTACGGACATACAACTGGGTATAAGAAGAGGAAGACCCTTTCATTAAGGGGATTCAACAATTTTACACAAAAAACTCTCTCTCTCTGTCTCTCTCATGCTTTTGTATCTATTTCCCAAACTTTTTGTAAGTCAGTCCGCTGTCGCGACCTGACCCACACTATCAATATCAATACAAATCAGTGGACATAGGATTTGCTACCTGAGCATCCGAACCACTTTAAAAACTCTCATAGCATTTATTTCGCTTTTGATATTCATTTTCACGTGTGCTTTTTGATCAATCAACGCTGCACACGTATCGGTTAGTTGGTGCCCAAAATCAAGCATCAACACACTTCTAATTAATGGCCTTTCAGGCTCGTCAGGCATATCATTAACCGCCTTGCTAAAATTGGCAGGGAATGCTTTGCTCTCTTGGAAGAGCTCGAGCTTATCCGCCCGCCGAAGAAGTTTGGGAACAGGCATCAGCCCCCTCAAGCACGTGATTTTCATCCTCATCCTCAGCATTATAACAAGTATCAGTACAAGCATCATCAACCTGCTCATTATAATAACTATCAGTATGAGCATCACAAGTCACTACAAGAAATTTAACATTTAGGGACGAAAATTTCCGTCACATAAAGTGCAAAATTCGTCCTAAAAAGTAATGTGGGACGGTAGACCAAATTGTCTCCAAAGCCACGTTTCCAAAGGGTTATGTCCAAGAAAAAATAGTTCGTCCCCAAAGCCATGCCATTGGGGACGAAATATGATTTCGTTGTTAAAAATTATTCATTTTGTAACTAACTTTTTTGTCCACAAAAGAATAATTATTCGTCCCAACTGAGACTGTTTCGTCCCCAAAAAAAGCACAATTAGGGACGAAAAAAATTTCGTCCCTAACTAGATCAATCATTGGAGACAATATTTTTTGTCCTTAATTATGTGAAGAATTGGGGTCAAAAATTTTCGTCCCCAATAATTTTCATCCCCGATGTTGTGGTGAATTGGGGACAAAAATTTTTTTCCCTCATGGTGTGGTGAATTGGTGACCAAGGATTTCACCCCTCATGGTGTGGTGAATTAGGGACGAAAAATTTTGTCCTTGATTGGGTTGATAATATGATGATTAACCGTAATCCCAATTTATGAATCAACCCAACTAATTTTCCTTCATGATAATACCCACATTCATATTCACTTCACTATATAAACAAACAAAACAACAAAAGCTGAGTTTCCCAAATCAAATTGCACTTCTTTATTAACAAAAACTATCGACATTACAATTCCTACTTACCCACTACCACAGAATCTTCTAAGTAAGTTTCAGGATTCCAATCCCAAAAGAGTGAAACAAGAAACAAAATTGCAAACATCTTTGTTCTTTCCGATAGCCCAAAATCTTCAATGCTGTCATAGTTTCTTGTTTGCTTTCATCCCAACTACTTTGAGCTCAAGTTTATCCGCCCTAAATGCAATCTCTTTGTCTTCAACAACATTTTATTTACAATTCAGATTTTCTTGATTAGCTTCAAAGAATGATTTACCAGTTATTCCTCATCAAGTTGTTGTCGTTGCGACGTTAGTTGCTCTATCTATCAAATGCTTCCTTCAACCACCCATATTGACTTTGACAAGCTTTTCTGGCTCCTGCCACACTCATCTGCACAAAAAAAAGTGACATAATTATCAAAATAAATTCTTTATAAGATATCTAACCAGAAACATCTTTCTGAATGCCTTTGAAAAATAACATCATTCACAATAATTATTCCTCCACTTTACCGTCCGTTCAATTACCCACTATTAACAGAGTGTTCTATATAAAATTTACCATGTATATTAGACACATTTATGTCAACGATGCCATTACTCAAACTAATCAACACAACCAAAACTCAGAAGAAGACAGAAGAAGAGTTTTGATTGTAAGGGCAATAATTAATTGCAGTAGAGCCTGCCAATTTCAAGAATATACAGCAACAAAAATCAATATAAATAATGGTCATTACTGCTTCCAATATATTGTCAAGCACATGAACAAGAAAAGTTTCCCAGAAAGTTGAAGAGGGATTACATACTTGAGATCAATGCCCATAAATTGAGGATTCAGCTGTATTCCAACCACCTAAAGAATTATATATAAGGTAAAAATATCAGGAATTTAAATACAGACTGATAAAAATGACCAGACAGACAGAAAGAAAGTATTTGACGAACACTAACTTTTCCATTTTCAGTTACACGAATTGATAATTTTTTTTTTTTTTTTTTTTTTAAAAAAAAATTATAAAGGGATCTTTGAAAATGATTAAATTATAAGGGCAGTAGTTGTCTCAAAAACCAGATAGGATATATGATTCAAAGAAACATTTATACGCTTTAGAATATATGTGTATTATGTTAATTATCCAATACCAGTCATGTAAAAGGTTTCCTATGACATGAGGCTTTAGGGAAGAACCCTGATTGTGTGACCTGAACCCAGTAACAAAGAGTACCCATGTCACCTGGCATAAAATAGAAAAGGCAAATGCAACAACTGATTAAGAAAGGAAACGAAAGAAAATGTGATTTAATAATAAATAAAAATTAGAGGGAATCAATTCCGGTAGACACCATAATATTAGCTCAACTATAATGGATGCATCAAATAAGTCAAGAAAGAATACTTTTCCCTCTTAGTAATCAATTATTCAACATGATTGCAAACAACAATGGACGTTATGGGTCTTGCCAAGGTTGAAATAGATAAAAGACAGTAAGTTATGATAAAATATAATTCAACCTTCAACAGTGTCAATAAAATATAATGCTGTAAGTTATAATAAGTTAACTTGAAGAAAGATGCTGACACATAAGAGCATGCATGTACTCAAGAATAATGTTTACCAATTAAATGAATAAGTATATTTCATTCAACAACCACATACCAAACTTTCCAGGCACCAAAGGAGAAACTAAATCAATTACAAGAAAACAAAACATTAAAGTTTCTGATAGCAGCTCAAGTTCACATAAATGTCAAATAACATACTAAACCTAATTTAATTAGAAAAAAGACAAAAATACGCACCATCAAAAGTCAAGTCGAATGAGGTTTGTCCAAACATTTCATATATACTTACAATTTGTACCTATAATCTGAAGTTTATCACTTTGAAACTTTTATCATTTCACGCGACAATACCTACTCTGAGTTTCAAAATACTCATGACACAGCATGCAACATTTAAAAATATGTATTTCAAGCCAGATATACTACTTGAATGTTTATTCAACATCATACTATACTATTTACAAATTATAACATAATAAAAGTCACAAAGCCCCAAGTAATTTTAGGAATTGAAGATGACTATATAATTACAAGCCAGTGGATAAACACGGAGTAGCGAGTACTTACAGTAAGTGATATGAAATCCATCTGGGTACCAATTCCAAGTAGCTCAACCAACAATACAAGCATACAAAACAGTTAACCCATTTGAAACATTAAAAAATACAAAATATAACACATCAAAATTCTAAAGAACTTGAGCAAATGAGTAAGCAAACAACTAATTAAAACAAAACATTGCATCGATAATGAAGTCGAGTGCAAAGGGTCGATGGTGGAGTCGGAAGAAGTGGAAAGGTCGGAGAGGTCGGTTTGGTTGGATTGAGCACGGAGAGATACAAGGCGAGATGATGGGCTGAGGGGAAGGAGTTGACGCTTGTGGCGGGGGTGGAGATGGACGGTTGAGATGGATTTGTTTAGAGAGAGAAAGAGGGATCTAGCCATCGGTTTTGGAGGAAATTTGAGTGAAGATTGCGAAAATCTTAATTGGGAGAAGATCTGAAGAAATGACATTTTGGGTCAGTTCGGTTCGGGGTTAAGTGACATTACTAGGGTAATGTCATCTTATATTACTTGATTACCACGTTTAGTTATCAAGTAATATAAGATACCAGTAATCTTCAAATACAATAGTGGTTACTATTGGTAATATAAGAGGTAATCTGATTACCTCCATTTTCTTAGGTTTTATGAGATTAACAAGGTTATATTTTTTAGTTATAATTTTATCCCTTATTAATAAAAATTTTGGACAATAATACCCCTACTTTAAAACAAATTTACATTAATATCCTATTTCAATTTTACCCTTATTTAATTAAAATTTTAGACAAAAATGCCCTTATATTTAAAATAATTTACAGACCACCACTGCCACCAAACAGCCACCACCACAGCCACCCAGCCACCACCGCCGACAGCGGGTCAACCACCACGGACCACCGTCGAAAAATTGCGGGAGTCCGTAAAAACACTGGAAATTCTGTGGGAGGCTCCGGGATATGGCCGTTTTCGGCCATCAATATGGCCAAAAACGGCCATAGCGGAGCCTCTTGGTCACGGTGACGTACTCACGGGCACATCCGGCTGTGGTTCGCGGTGGCGGCTGGAGGTGGGGGTGATTTCGTCATAAATTAAAGTTTTATATAAGCGGGGGTGTTTTAGCTAAATCTGAAATATTTGGGGTTAAAAGAATTATTCAAAAATTAATAATAAAAATAATTTTATATTAATATTTAAAAGGGGGACAATTTAGTAATTTAAATAGATACTCATGTGTGTTTACTAAACACGCAAAAACTAGCAAGTGCACTAGTCGCTCAAGTATAGAGTGATGGGTAGGATTACGTTCCCACGAGGACTGGTAGCAAAGCACTAAGTTTCCTATGGTGTTAACAAGTTGAAGCAATCGAAATCTTGGATTTGTGGGAGCAATTTGTAATGAAAGAAAAACAAAAATAAAATCTAACAAGTAATAAATTCTTAAAAAGAAAAGGAATGGAATTCAGAGATTCAATTTAATTAAAACGGGTAGGGTTTTGACTTCGTTTGGATTATTTATGGGTTTACCTAAAAGTTACACTAATTTACATTTACATGCAATGGTTGTAAATCGGGTTCACTACTATGATAACATACCCCTCGGGCTATGTTTTCCTATATCCTTTTAACATTCCGCACCCAACAATTTGAAGGTTATAAACTCTAAATCATGAAGCACAAGAATCCTAAATGATTTCATTAGTTCTTGAATCTATCTCTAGCATCCATAATATAATGGTTATTACCCAGAAGCTTAACATGAATTATTTCTCAATCTCATCATGTTCATCACATACAACACTTAATTTCAGAGTAACACACAACCATAGCTTATTCACATGAAAATGCACAAACATAAACTCAACCCATTTCAAATCCAAACTACAATCAAAACCCTAACCATAGAAGATTAGTTCATATCTAATTTAACAGAAAAAAAACGGAAAATACAAGTAAACAGAATAAACATAATGAAATAGATGAAAGAATAGAAACTCCCCAAAAGATAATTATTCCAGTCAAAATCTGAACTTGTTCTCTAACAATCGAAAATCAGCTTTTTCTCTCTAGGAAATGCAAAGACGGCTAACCTAACAGCTCGGAACCCCTCTAAAGTTAAAGTTTTTCTTTTATACCTAGTCCTAAAAACCCAGTCAAAACACGCACACACGAAACTGTGCGTTTACAAAACTGAAAATTTTAACTGTCGCCGCGGCGAAGAATTAAAGATCCACATTCGATTCTGCCAACTTCGCCGCGGCGAAGACAATTTCTTGCCGGGGCGAAGCTTCTTCAAGAGTTCTGAAATTTACAGAACTGCCACTCTGCTTGCCTCTTGTCCGATTCTTCGATTTTCGACTTCCACCTTGGAAACAAGCTTCACGTCTGCATTGTCCTCACTCGGAACTCTCCTAACTTCTGAAATCCTTCAATTCTGGTCAAAACTGTTCAAATTGTCTTTATTCACTAAAAGAGTCCATTTTAACTGAACACGAAAAGTAGAGAATTACGCACAATTCAGGTAAAAATGCACTAGAAAGTACCTGAAATCCGACAAAAAGATAAATAAAAACTGTATAATTTACGGATTATCACTAACACCAATTTATTCCCCATAACCAACAACATATTAAATAACATACCACCAACTAACCAAACATATTTTTCTAAAGATTCCCAGTAATCTTCAAGGTAATCTATCTTTTCAGTAATTCAATATTCCCAGTAATCTAACATTCCTGAACAAACGCTCCTTTAGGTTAATGGAATTAGTTTCTGGGGAGAAAACTTTGGGACATTTTGGGACGAAAATTTTGGGTTAATGGGTATTAGGTTTTTGGGGACGAAAATTTTGGGAAATTTTGGGTGGGCGCAAATGGGTGTTTGTTTCCCGGTTAAAATCAAGTATATGGTAACATTCTAAAGTGCTTTGTATTAATTATACTGCAAAGCAGCTCACTCTCTTATTTTTTTTTTTTTTTTTTTTTTTTAATTACCTTAGGTTTTTCATTATATATTATATATATAATAGAAAACCCTATCCATTTGACTTTACCCGAATCTAACCCAACCCAGGCCCAATAGTAAATTAATAACAAATCCAATTATTAATTGAACTTACCATGAAAGAGACGCTGCCCCCTCACCCTTGCTCGCTCATCGGCAAGCGAGATCGCTGCCCACTCACTGAGAGCAAGACCCCGAATGCGTCTGCATAGGGGACTTCAAGCTTATGCAAAATATAAACCATATCCAACAATTGATAGATAATGAGTTATAAAAATATGAAGTTTTACTTATCAAAATTATATTCATAACATTTTCACAAAAAATGCTACCATAGATACATATTAATAACACATTTTAAAAAAGTGCTACCATTCAGTATTACTATAAGTCAATTTTTTTTGTAATGGGTGAAGCAAATAGCAAAATGAAGAGAAAGGGCAAAATGACGGCCCGTTAGAGCATGTCGTGATCCTCAAACGTACCTGCCACACCTTCCAACCATTTTCAACGGATCCTCATTCGCCACTTGCACTTAATTTTAAATTTTTTATCTTGGGTTTCAATCAATTTCAGAGTAGGAGTTCGAGAGTCACTAGCAAGCAAGTTTGGGTTTTGTTTCAAATGAAATAAAAAATGAAGTGGGTGTTTTTACATTTACCTAGAACTAATAATATTTACTCCCTAATTAGATTTCCAAATTTTGTACAATTATAGACAAAAAATTTCATCCTAGAAAAAAAGGGCTTTTATTAATTGCAAAATTTTGCATTCAAAAATAATAAATTCGTCCCAGATTGATTTCCCTCTATATTATTTCATCATTCCATCCAAATGGCATTGTTGGAGGGGATGAAACTGAATTCATCCCTAAATTAAACATTTGTTGTAGTTCTAAATTTCGTCCCTAAAAATGTATTTTTCACAATTTAGGACAAAATTATATTTCCTCGCTAATAAGTTTTCCAATTTTTGTACAATTGGAGACAAAAAACTTCGTCCCAAAAGAAAAAAGGTTTTTAGCTACAAAATTTTTTGTCCAAAAATAATACATTTCGTCCCAAAAAATGTATTTTTACAATCAAGAACAAAATCATATTTTGTTGCTATTAAGTTTTTCAAATTTTGCACAATTAGAGACAAAAAATTTCGTCCCAGAAAAAGA